CTGTTTAAAGTTTTCAATATGCTCGATGGTTTGGGGTGTATAGAATAAGATGTGGTGTTTAAGATGGTTGTCATATTGTTTTCTGGGTTGTCGTGATGTGGCTCTCTAGGTTGTTGTGAAGTAGTTGTCTAGTTCGTTATAATGTGATTCTCTAGGTTGTTGAAATGTGTTCTTAATATTGTTCTTAACTCTTATTTGGCTCTTGAAATTTTCAACTTTGATGTGGTTCTGTAGGTTGTCTTGGTGTGGTTGTCTACGCATTTGTTATGTGGTTCTTAGTATTGTTTTTATTTGGCTTTAGAAATTTTCCTTAACTTTGATGTGTTTGGGGTTTCTATATTCATGATGGCGTGTCAGTGGCTGTCTAAAAAGTAACGTGTGTTGACTCATTCACACTTCAGTGCGTGCTTGTAGTCTGTTTATAATTCAACACATAACCAGATTATATCTCAACCTTAACCCAAATCTTTTCTTTTTTTGTAACTCTTTTCTTAAATATAAGTGCAAATTTATAAAAAGATATAAACAATAAAAAATAGAATATTGGTTTTTTTTAAAAGTTAGTTTTTAAAAACGAACACCTTGAAAGTGTATACATTCTTTGTTAACAATCGTTTGCCTACATAAGGATCCATTAGCCCGAGAAAGACATAAACTAGACTTAGGATTACTTCAAAAGCCTTCGCAGATAATGTCACAGTTTCCTATATGTCATATACAGCGGCAAAGATGATTGATTCCTTCTATTTATAGCTACCATCCTTAATCCGATTAATAAAGAAAGACTTTCTCGGTCGTCATAAAACAATACATAAAAAAAACAACAAATCAAAACACAATGGATGGAGAAAATATAAGAAGCTTACTCAAAAACGTGCGTGTTTACCATAATCTGACGGAGACCGACGGTCGAAACATCCACACAAGCTGTGCCAGGTACGAGGCACATCCAGACGGTACCCGGGACCAAAACAATGGCGACTTATTCAGATTGACTTATGCGAGCTGGTTGTTGTTAGGGCTAGACCTAGGGATAATATTGATTACCATCGAATGCAAATTTTATTCATGAAGACGAACAAGAATACAGATAGTAGTCTATGATCCGAGCATTATGATTTATGTTTGCGTGAGCAAATCGAAGTGTACACACCAATTCACAAAAACGATTTGTGCATATATATATATATATATATATATATATATATATATATATATATATATATATATATATATATATATATATACATGTGTGTGTGTGTGTGTGTGCGTGTCGTGTGTGTATGTGAGTGTGTGTTTTGTGTGTGATCAATTGGATTTATATAAAAAAAAATAATCCTGAGAGAAATAACGGAGAAAAGAATAAGAGATAGATAGTGTGTGTGTGTGAGAGAGAGAGAGTGAGAGAGAGAGAGAAAGAAAGAGAGAGATGAATATAAAACATAAAGATAAAGCATAAAACAGAAAGCATGCATGATATCCTTTAAAATATTATTTTTCTTCCACCTCAACGTGTATTCTCTGTACTAGTACTCCAAAGACAAGCGATGTTCTTCAAACCCTGCTCTTGATCTAACTTTAGAACTACGCACGAACTTCGGGTTCAATCTGTGTCATACAAACTGTCTTCGGGTGAAAACAAAGGTGGTAGGTCAAGGTCACCTCACGCGCACGTCTCAAACACGTAAAATATGCTCACCCGGATTAATTGTCAGGAATTATCAACAGCTGGTGGACGTCGTTGGGGTGGGGGGGGGGGGGGGCATTGTTACTCCCCATTCACTAACCCCCACCCCCAAGCCTCTCCCCACCCCCCACTATCACAGCAACACAATCGCTCACTGGGTATCCTTTCAATGCAAGCCCAAAGAAACCCGATCGACGAATTGATCTCCTTATTGATTTCCCTCCTGCTCACGTTGGGCGGTATCTGTTTCAATGTCTGTTGTTGCCTTCATCTTAGTTTTGTGTTGTGGCTTGTTTTTTTTAATTTTCCCTAGAAGTGATGGTCATGCAGGGGCTGTAACTCTACCTCGATTTGCTCGGGGAAGTAACTCGTGCATGTGATTGATGGGCTGGGCAAATTTTTGTGTTCGCATGCACGTGAGTTTAATCGTTGCGTTAAAAAGTTGGTCTTCCATCACACCATGATGCTTCGTCAGAACCTTGGTTTGGAGATATTTGTTTTCCAAATTTTTGTTTTTTAAACACGTGTTTTCTAAATATTTGTTTTCTAAACATGTGTTTTTGCTTCGATTAGTGTGAAACAATATCTACAACTCTTTATACTGACACTAAAACATGAGTGCATATATTTCAACATAAATACAAATGCTCACTCAGAACTAACGATCGACAAGGCTGATGAAGTAGAGTTCATCTGTTTCTGTGTTGCCTGTGACACATAGACGTGAAGTCGGGATCTGAACTCATGACTTTCTAAGGTAGCGGTTAGGACCCGTCCATGCACCGCGCTGTAAAACAGCTGCTTCAAACGTAGGCTTTGTTAATTAAAACAGTTGAGCTCTACTTCATCTGCCCGATAAGCCACCAGGACCGAAAGCTTATTTTATTTCAATTAGCTGTATTCAAACTGGACTAAAATTAATAGGAATTTTTTCCCAAGTTGAAACAAATGTCATACCTTTTTTTAAGTTTAGATTAAGTTCAAAGCAATCTTACAAAGTAAAATGCATGTTATTTAAAAATGCTGTTATTTGTATACATAAAATCCATCTAATTATAATGTAAATTTCGTTTTCATTTGTTTTTATCAGTAAATGACACATTTTCTGTGAGATAGTCTCAAACTCATGTAATTAACTTCAAAGATTTTTTTCTAAATATGTTTCTAAAATTGATACACGTTAGGGCAAGAATAATTTTTTTCTGAAAGTTTTAAATCTAATAGCGCAAGATTCTCTTCGTTACAACATGCTTCGTATGTTTCGCGTATAACGGAGCATATTATGACTCTGTCTTTCATAGACGTCAAATTAAAACGGATTTAAAACAAAAAGATAATGCTCCACGGGTAACCGATACCCACGGCGTCGTCGTCGTGTCGTCTACAATACGACATCTGCCAGACTAAGATGACTCAAGACTTCCCAGTCATCATGACTTGACCCCCATTGTCCACACACACTGCCTCAGCGACGGTCGGGTCTCGCATCCACAACGACCGCCGGCCTTGATTGCTCTAATTAGACGTATTGCGAGGAGACTAAAACAACGACGAGCGTAACGACGAACGTAACAGCGTCTGATAACGACGGTGTAATATAATCAGACAGGGACGTAATGTTATGTTTAGATGTGGTTAATCGGCTTGGGTGAGTTTCGAACACACGTCGGTTAATCCGTGCCAGCGTCAATACACGGCGCTAGTTCGATGGAACTCTCCGACTTACGGAGTTTAGGATTTGTTACTAGAAGCTTTAGACGTGTGTTGAAGGTATCACATTTCACCATCACCACCGCCTTGAATCATACTACAGCCTGCTTCGCTGAAAATTGCTTAAATAAATCAATACAACTATAAACTAACATGGCGAATACATATATTTTAATCACGCGGAAAATAAAAACATTTTAAGTATGTATAGACGGTTTGGTTTTACATAAAAAATTGAAGTTTGAATGTGAAATTGTATACATCTATAATTATAAAAGTGAAATCGATGAGGAGAGTGATGTGAGGGTTCAGCGCTGACTGGCGTCGTTGACGTAAAATAAAGACACAAGTCTCAAGGAACAGGAGACAGAGGGAGGGGGGGCGTAAATTGCCTCGTGATCGTCTGCGTCGGGTCGCGTGCGGCGACAAGCCCGACCCCCAATAAAACCATATTAATGCCAACACAAGCGCCGCTTCCATTCGCAACCCATCTTTGAAACTTTCTTTTAGAGTTTTAATGTTTTTTTACAAATGGAACGAAACACATTATCCAGACAATAGACCCGTCTGTTGGAAGTTGTAATAATATCACATTTGTATAACTTTTTAATTGAAGGGCGTTTTTGGTAACCCATACTGTCGTATACAGACTTTTGGTTAAACATAAAGGTATATTTTTATACACATAATATAATACTTTAAAAAAACAAAACAACAATCAAATGCATGTATTCTGTGCTAATAATCGTTATGATAAATTATTTTACATTCAAAGAGAAGAAAATATTTCTGAAAATATTTTTAGAGTAATCGCAGCATTTGTATGTAATTCCTCTCATATTTCAACCTTCTCCATTGTGTGGTACCTTAGTCCTGTTTTAATCAACGTAGCAACGTACACATTTAACAAAACAAAAAAAAAAAGAAAAATATTCGTCAAATCAAATTGTTAAATGTATACACGTAGATAATGAAAAGTCTGTTTTGCTGAACACTTTTCAAAAGATTCAAAACAAAACGTATAAATAAAGATATACATAATATACAGTATACATGATTTGAGTTTTGCTTTTCTAACTTTAAACAACCATTATTTGTATATGTATTGTTAAATAACCGCTATAGACTCACTAATTATTTAATGCATATAACCAATGAGAGAAGAAGCGTCTATTAAGTATAATATTATACATGCTAGTATTAGTTTATTATAAATTAGAGAGCTATACCATACAACTAGATCTTCCAAAGTTATAGACACTAGACATATTAAAAATGGCGGTTTTAATGTTTAAAAAGCATTCTGTTTAGTTTGATGTGTAGAATACTGTATTCAACTTGAAAGCGTAAGAATTACATTAATTAATATGTTATTTATACTCTCTTCGTTGGGTCTATTCTTGTATAATTTTTCCAAGACAATATTCCGATATAAATAAAAATATTTTTGGAGAAGTATTTTAATTAGTGGCTGGCTTAGAAGCAAAATAACTTCACCTTTGGTGAATCCTGCTGAAGTCGAAAAACGTATGCCATCAAAACAGTGAATTGAATGTATTTCATGTGTCCATTGTATTTTTCCCGAGCTAATTTGTAATGTCTTGTTGTTGTTTCACCATCAGGTCCCAACTCCAACCAGAGACGCAGGGGTCGTCAGACGTACACACGGTTCCAGACACTGGAACTGGAGAAAGAGTTCAAATTCAACCGCTACCTGACACGACGCCGCCGCATCGAGCTGTCCCACATGCTGTGCCTGACGGAGCGGCAGATCAAGATCTGGTTCCAGAACCGCCGGATGAAGGAGAAGAAGGAACTGCAGGCTATCAAAGAGCTGAACGAGCAGAGCCGCGGCCACGAGAAGTCGCTCCAGCAGCCCTCGGCAAAGTCAGAGGACAAACTCGCCTCGGCACTGACGTCATCCTCCTCGCAGAACGCCATCGAGTCTCCGAACAGCTCGAGTTCCGAGCATAGTTGAGGGCCGAGTTTCTTTCAATTGAACCTCATCATTCTTTCATCGTCAAGGATTCAATCACCAAAAACACAAAAAACAATTCTAGCCCCAAAATTTGACGGCTATGAAAAACAATTTTCTTAAATGTTCCTCATTCTCATGTGGTCTGAGGCTGTATTTTCATTGGTCAGATTTCCGAACACGAGGATACAACAGATATTCTTGACGTGGATAACGGTCCGATGTTTTAAAGGATACTAGGATACTAGTAGCGGATAACTCAAACTGTGGAGGCCGGTCCACGTGACTATGCAAGTTGTTGTATACTATCAATCCAAGTCGACATTGGCCAATATAATACAAGTATTACTTTAGTCTTGAAACTATATATATATATATATATATATATATATATATATATATATATATATATATATATATGGCTGCATACAAATTAACGTCTCAAAACTTGTATTTAGGCATTAATATATGTTTAAGTACATATATATATATATATATTTATATATATGCATTTAACCATGTAGGTTGTATATTAATAGTTTTTTATAGATGAAAGTTTATTTTAAAATACTGGCACAGCCTCAACTGTTGGGTACAGTAGCTGTCTATGCTTGTCAAAGATTTAAAGAACAAAAGCATTTTATAATTGCGAGACACAGTTCTCTTTTCTTTATTGTGTTGTTCTATCCACATTTTTTTTTTCTAATTTAAGTTCCGTAAACAGGGTAAATTATTATGTAATCCTATGCTAAAATTATTTTTGTGTTTGTTAAACAGCAAAGATGCCTGGTTGTTGGGAAAGGTATGGTTGGATGTTGGTGTGTCGAAGTGTAAGTGGTAACATTTTAATTCATTACGTGTGTTTGAATGGTTATTTTAAAATATCAGTAAAATTTAATTTTCTTTTAAAAGTTTATGAAATGTATATCAGATATTGAGGCTTTTAAGAATCTTTACATACACATTTGGTAATTAGAAAATGTAACGACAGTTATCTGAAGATAGCGATCTACTGGTGAATAATATCTTAATCTCGTTCCTCTGTGGTATTCTCTGGGAGACATGGTACTACTACCCAGTGTTAATATTAATGTTATGTTATTTTTCTATTATTTTTTCATGCCTTTTTGCAGCTGCATCAACATTGATCTTGTTTTTTTTAAATTTCTTTTTACGTGTAATAATTTTTTTGTGAAATTTATTGCCGTTTCATTTTTTAAGAGTTATGCACCTTTTGTTTTTAATTCTCGCTTCGCACCCGCGTCATTGAACATACAGTGTCACAAAAATACAGCACCCAAATTGTCAATGTACAGTGATTGTAAATATTCCATTTTTTTTTAAAACGAGAAAAAAATAAATTATTGATCTTTTGTTATTTTTGTTTGTATGCGATTTATGCCATCTCACAATCTCTTGCTCATTTTCGTTCAACTACAGCTGGTCAAGAGTCAACAATCGTAATCAGACCCACACCTCACCATTTTGTTACGACCACACCTCACCATTTTGTTACGACAACCTACAACTGAGGCACCGATAGCTCGGACTAGATAACCCGACTACCCAAATTTTGACCATTCTTGACCTAACTACTCCTGCCAATTTCCCATTTGTTTACACATCTTTACACAAAACTTCCATACAAGAATAACCTACCACCCAACTTCTCATTTACCAAGCAATCAATCCACTATCAGTACACCAACAACATCCAATACCACACTACCCACAACCTCATTGACACAACAATCAGTACACCAACAACAGCCAATACCACACCACCCACAACCTCATTGACCCAACAATCAGTACACCAACAACAACCAAAACCACACCACCCACAACCCAATGATAACCCACAGTCAAAAAACCTTAGTTCATTAGCAACAACACACAAGCCGACCACACAAAACCCACCAACTACATCTTACCCACTCTAATCCAAACTAAGCAAAGTTTGCGTCATTATTTAAGTAAAAAAAACAAACACTCCCAACATTCAAACTGAAATCTAAACCTTTATATCTAAACAGTACTCAAACATTCTCCCAAACAACACACCCAAACTGCCCAAAAATACTCACAAAAACGTTTTAACAAACTACCCCACAAACGCCTAAACAAACACCCAAACAAACACCCAAACAAACACCCAAAAATACGCCTAAACCCACACCCAAACCCACTCACAAACCAACTCCAAAAAAAAAAAATAATCCCAAACCAACCTACAAACCGACTTCTAAACAACACCCAAGGAACACCCAAACAAACGCCTATACGACACATTTACTGCTAATGAAGGCGTCCTCCCCCCCCCCTTTCTCCCACCTCCCCAGCTTTCAATAACCGACATCTCTCATGTGATCTGAATCCTTTCGATCCTGGGACTCCCAGAATTCCCCTTCCGCTCCTGACACGTTTATTCTCGCCTGCCAGGGAATCTGCTACGTGGCTCCTGCTAGACAGGAAGTGGAAAGAAGAAAAAAAAAACAACAACCAAAAAATAGAAGTATCAGAAGAAAGAACAGTCGGACAAACTCCAAGTTGTAAACACAGCGTCCAACCCCCACGCCGCTGAATCTGGACAACGGGCTAGTTTATACCCAGATTTTTTTTCTCGTCCCGATACCAAACAGAGACCAGTCGTGAACATGCCAAACCTGGGCTCACCAGAGGCTGGTTTAGGGGAGAGCATAAACAAGACAGGGAATCCCAGAGTTATCCCCCCACTAGCAGGGGAATCAAGATGGCGGATCTGTGGCTTGTCAAAGTGTAGCTTCAGTTCAACCAATCCAATAGACACGTCTCTCTCTAGACGGCCCGCCCTTGCTCAAACGAATTCCCCGCTGCCGTGGTTTGGGTTCTTTACCTCAACAAATGACACACATTAACAAGACGTACCTACTGTAGTCAGCTATAGAATACAGACTGCTTTATTTGTTTGTTTTTTTATAAATACAAAATAAAAAACTTCGATTCATACCAATTTAAGCACAGAAACATAATATATATTATATAGTATGTATGGTTAAATTTGACAGAGTAGGCCTCTATTACGAAACTTACAAGAAAAACTATGACTCATAGAATTTTAAGAAACGCTATAGCTGTTATTAATTTGTATTTAAAATCTTTTGTCAAACTGATTGCATCGAATTTTTTGGTAATTTTGGGGGATTTGATTTTGTGTTTTAGATTTTTATTATGTTTTATTTATTTTTTGTAACGCTTCCTTTATTTGACGGCTTAGGATGTTATTTTTAAAAGCAACTGTTTTTAAGGTTTTAAAAATTAATTCAGAAATAATTGTGGGTTTAAAAGATCAGGGTTAAAATGCTTTTGGGAGATTTTGTAGATTATTATACATTGTGCGAGCGCTCTTATTGTTGTTAGTGTATAGCTGACATATGGTTGTCATATGGTTGTAATATGGTTGTCATATGGTTGTCATACTGTTGTCATATGGTTGTCATATGGTTATCGTATGGTTGTCTCATATGGTTGTCACATGGTTGTCATATGGTTGTCATATGGTTGTCATATGATTGTCATATGGTTATCGTATGGTTGTCTCATTTGGTTGTCACATGGTTGTCATATGGTTGTCATATGGTTGTCATATGGTTGTCGTAAGGTTGACATATGGTTGTCTCATTTGGTTGTCACATGGTTGTCATATGGTTGTCATATGGTTGTCATATGGTTGTCGTAAGGTTGACATATGGTTGTCATATGGTTATCATATGGTTGTCATATGGTTGACATATGGTTGTCATATGGTTGTCATATGGTTGTCATATGGTTGACATATGGTTGTCATATGGTTGTCATATGGTTGTCATATGGTTGACATATGGTTGTCATAAGGTTGTCATATGGTTGTCATATGGTTGTCATATGGTTGTCATATGGTTGTCATATGGTTGACATATGGTTGTCATAAGGTTGTCATATGGTTGTCATATGGTTGACATATGGTTGACATATGGTTGTCACATGGTTGTCATATGGTTGTCATATGGTTGTCATACAAAGACGTTTGGTCAGAGTAGCAGAAGATGGAATGAAGTTCGTGTAATTATGTTAATGGGGTTGTTGAAATAGGTTCCGGTTTGGTAGTGCTATAGAGATAAGGTTGGTGGTGTCATGTAGACGGCGTTGGTGGTGTTTTGGGGATGATTTGGTGGTGTTATATATGTGGGGTTGGTGGTGTTTTGGGGATGATTTGGTGGTGTTATATATGTGGGGTTGGTGGTGTTATGCATATGGGTTGGTGGTATTACAAATATGGGATGATGGTGTTATGTGGATGAGTTCGTGGTGTTATGCAGATGAGGTTAGTGGTGTTACGGATATGGGGTTGATGGCGTTCTGTAGATGAGGTTGATGGTGTTCTGGAGATGAGTTTGTGGTGTTCTGGAGATGAGGTTGGTTGAACTAAATCTGTGACAGCGATTTTTTCTTTGCATTTAATTATCTCCTTGTTTGTTTATTTAATGATGTTGTCTTGTTGCCGTGATGATGCTAAAAACGAAATCCAACGTTAGCATATGGCCATACAGTCAGTGATATGTCACTATTTTTAAAACATATTTTTGGTTGAATTAAAAAAACTCACATGAATTATGTTACACATTTTATTGTTTACATTTACATTAAGCGTTGATATTTTTAATATCGTCTGCACACTCTCGTTTTGAACAGTGAATTTTGTTTCAGAAATTGTTGATTGTTTTTTTTAATTTGTTTGCTTGGTTTTGAGTTTCTTTTTTTATTCCTTTTTTCAAAAAATAAAACTGCCGTCTGATTTTAATTTTTTCAACAGCGTTAGCGCCTGGGTTAGGATTATAGATAAAAAAATCATGATATTTAGCATTACGTTTTTTTTTAAAAAACCAATCAATTAATTAAAGCATTGTCGGCTATGGAATGACTGAACCGGTTTCTCGTGACCGGTACTATACCATTAGCCGTACCTACATAGTTAAAATGGTCAATCAGCGGTAATACTATTGCAACTATAAAACTAAGACTAGCACTATACTTAAACCAACAAAAAAAACAAAAAAACTAACCGTAGGCTTTAAGTTAAAATATTACACTGGATATACATCCATATTAGATGATGTAATTTAAGTGTGTGGAACCCCTTTATATGTCGGTCAAGGATGTATAAAATTGTGTCATATAAATTTGTCACTAACTGTTGTCAGGCTCATCTAGACATTGTCAGTCGATACCATTCGTCATTTCGTTTCACCCTGTACATACGCCCATAGCTCGCACTTTTTAAAACACAATTTAAACGA